GAGAGGCCGAACTGTCACGTACGCAAAGCAGAACGAGAGAAAGAACGAGGAGTCGTGTTGGAGTAGCCGAACTGTGCGGTCGACTAGCAGCAAATGAAATCAATTGAAGTCTTTTTACTTTTCCATTATATTTCAAATTGAACTTGAATAAATACTATTTGTGTTAATATTAAAATTAGACCACTCGGTTTATTCTTCTGACATATAAGATACCACATATGCCAGCAGCATTATTTTGAATTTTGCTGCTAGTATTTTGAACGCCACTATATTCGACCGGTTTGTCAAAAGGACGCACAAGAATATCACTGCAAGGGGGAACCGCCTTAATTGTTGTCAGCTTGCAGGTCATAGCCGCATTTCAAAATAACATAAAACCTATGTACAATTTCGATTAAAATTTGTAAGTAGGATAATTTGTTATTGCAATGGTTATAGAATTTCAATGAAAAATGAAATTTACCACACTTCGGGTGCGCAAAAGTAAAGGCAACAGAGTGTACTCTAAAAAATTGAGTAATTTGTTAACCTCTACCAGCAAATTGTATAAGTTGCGAGCTTTTAGCTCTAACTCAAGAGAAATTATGATAGTCGAAACAAGGCAGAGAATCTCCTTTTGGATTTTGGAAAACACAAAATATGAGTATGCTTTGCTCTGCCAACATTAATCGCTGGTAGAGTTACGCTGCGCTCATATCGAATATCGTAATTTAAACATAATATAGCACTAAAGTTAAACATAATTAGTACATTAGAACAGTAAAAATATGTTTTAGTACTTAAATGTACATACATGTGGTTGTATATCGTATGCTAACTAATGAAGTTGTGCAGTTGTAATTAAATTATGTTTCTATAAGTAGCGTTTAGCCAGTTTGACTGGACGTAAGCACGCATGCGTTCAATGTTGCAGAGCTCTCTTATAATTGTCGCCTACTACAGTCCTAAGCCACCCATTTTCTCTTTTTTGATTCGAACTCTTTGCTTTCAGTACAAAGCAATTTAGCGCGCACTATTCGCCCAGTCAATCTCGCATGGATTTTCATCATATATGTAACATAATTTATGTACCATACTTAAACTAAATATTACCAGCTATTTGAAATTTTTAAAGTTCTTTAAGTTCCAATCTTCATATAACATTCCGTAATAATGTAAGAAAAAAAATATAGCTTTCTGCTCATCTCTTTACATTTTAAATATTTCATTTGAAAGTGTTACATTAAAATTATAACCACGCTTGATTACCGCGAAATTTACCACGAAAACCGCCTCGCATTCCACCACCTCTGCCGCCGCCACGATTGTAGTAGGGGCTGCCTCCATGACCGCCGCCACGTGGGGGACGTGGAAATCGTTCGTTACGAAAATGATTTTGTTGCGGTGAATTGCCCCACCCAGGACCGCCACCTCCACCACGACCGCCACGATAGTTAGCATTCGTAGGGAAATTACCAAAGGGCAAGGGGAAGGGTGGGCGCGGAGGCGGCGGCACATTACCGCCACCACGGCCATGGCCGCCATTATGCCAAGGCGCTTGATCCCACATTTCTTGCTGTTGCTGGTGCTCTTGCATTTCCATATTGATGCCTATATTTTGCGGCTCATAAGTTGGCATGTTGATTTGATCAAACTGGTTGCTGTCCCAGACCGGTTGTGGCACATATTCTGGCGGTGTTTCCAACAATGCTGGCCTCACACTAACGGCACTAAGCTGCTCTTCTTCATTTAGATCCTTGGATGTATCGAGTAGTGATGCATCACCACTGCCTATCGATTGCTGTGAACTATCCAGCTGGTCGCTTGTTTGCTCATTCACCTCTAAAGGAGGCGGTCAGTTAGGAAAGCGGCATTGAGAAAAGGCAAACAAAAAATTATGAATGTAATAAAAA